CTTTAAAGGATCTCGCAAATATGGCGCGAAACGTAGAGGAAGAGGATCTCATGAATGCTTGGAGGTGCTTTGAAGAGAAGGAGGATTTCACTAATGTTATGCAGCCTTTATGTTATGAAACTCCACAACAAACTTATTAATATTAATCTACCATCAGTATGTTGATGCAACTCAAAACAAGAAAACTATGCAGAAATGAAATCAACTATTTTTACAGTTTTTTAACTACAACATTCAAAATCAAATTACGCGGAAACACGTGAGTCCGTTACTAGTAGAATATTTAAAAGTATGAGAGAAGTTGGAGATAGTAGAATATTTTGTGTGTGCATATATGGTTTATGAATATATAATGTTGGTTAGTTACAAACTGAGCCGAATGAGCAATTTTCTGTTATAGATTATATATAGTAATGTTGTTTCTTAAGTGAAGTATGTGTTATGTTTCTTTCAGGTATGTGGTTTATAATAATACATTTATTTATTATTCTATAATCTATATATAATGGAATCCACCAGCAACAACATCACGTGAAAAGGATTTGTGCATGCATGAAAGCGTGAAAGATGTGTCTGCCTAAATATCCAATTGAAGAACTATTAGTATTTCATTGTTTGAGCTAGTTTCTGTGAAACTAATTGTCATATTGCATTTAATGAAATCAATTTTACTTTAATGGTTATTTCAATAAACAATTTATATGTGATCCAATCTACTTATATCTTTAAAAACAAACTTTAGAAATGCTAAACAACTTATATATGATCCATCCACTTATATTTAGACCCACCAATTATTAAGATAAAGAAACACACTTTTTTAATATTTCATGAAATAACTTTTAAAAAAAATTAGTAACGGGATGTGTATCTTTTTTAATGATTGTGAACGTTATAACGACAGACATTGCAAACAATAAAACAATGGTTAGAAACTCACAAATATAATAATAATAATGATAAACAAAACATAATAGATCTCTTCATTTTCTCTCACTTATCTTCTCTACTTTTTAATAATATTTTTTAAAATAATGGTTAGAAACTCACAAATAATAATGGTGCATAGGTTGAAAATTGTGAATCATAGGATATATAAATAGTAACTAGACACATTGCATAGGTTGAAAAAATCCTAAACTCAATACTTTATGAGTAACTTTTCTATAATCGAACTTTCCAACCCAAAACCAATAAGTACTAGGAAAAAAGTGCCAGTTTCTTCAGCAAAATTATTCACAGCAAAATCTGAGTTGAGAACAGAAACATTAGAAGCAGCAAATTTTTGGATTCTGTTAAATGTTTATAGCAAAAGATATTTTTATGATTTCAGATGATGTGTATGGCATATCACCGTGGAAAAGTTTAGCACCTGTTAAGATAATATGTTAGCATTTGTAAATAAGACTTAGAAATAAACCACCACATGAGTTCTAGGAAGTTTAATACACAATTAATCCTTTGAAAGGGAGTCTGTTAGAGAAGGTAAAAGTAGTTAGCTATCATACCATCTCACCAATTAGAACAACATTCTCCACAAATTACATAAAGACTCATAGGAATGTCACAATATAGATCACCAATAATAATCCTCTCGCTGATACGTCCGCAAGTGCACAGAAATATCGAAGTAATATAAAAGATTGTCGAACCCACAGAGACCAATGTCAATCTACCGTTATCTATTATTACGGCGTAAAGCTAAGGCTAATGGAATTAGGAAAACTGAATGCGAATGAAATTAAATGCAAAGGAAATAAAGATAATTGGTTTAAAGAAAAAGAGGTAAAGGGATATCGGTATGCAAGGAATTAGTTATCGGGGATTCGACAGGTCGCCGGTACTTTTTACTCTTTGCAAACACTTTTCAGGAGAAAATACTCGTTTAAAGACCTCTGCCTCACGATGGTTGTTGACTCGGGTCATAATTCTAAGGCAGAATGTACGCTCTCGCAGTCCCATTCGGGGTTAAAACTACTTTTTGAAAACAAATAAACTCTGATTTCTTTTAAGCGCTTTCGCTGTGTTTAAAATCAATGTCTAGTTTTTACTATCTGGTTTGAATCCCAGCTTTCGCGTGCCGATTCGTGCCATAATTTCTCGCTGTCGCGACAAATGTTTATTTAGAAATTAAGATTAAAAACTACGGCCAGAAAGGTTGTTTGTAAAAAGGGAAGGTGTCGGTTACTATCGAATCCTGTCCTACTAATTTGGTTACATACCGATAAAACTAATTTAGTTAGACATGATAATTAATGCAAACATAAATAAACAATGGCAGCAGAATAATATAACATGCATATTGACAGAAATAAAATAATAATTCAATTAATAAAACCCTGTAAATCGTACTGATCTCGAATCCTTGAGTAGTCCTCCACAATGTCGGCAGGATTCTACTTTGGCGAGAATTAAAAGGTACAGGAACAAATAAAGCAATACAAATGAAATAAAAGGAGGAGAAATGGAAAATAATGCAGGAAAGTAAATTTGGCTTCAATTGGAATTTTGGCAGCACTTAGATACATCGAAAGCTCCCCCCGTTTTTCTGGTACCAGCTACCTCCTTTTATAGATGGGATATTCCACGGTTTATTTCTTCGGGAAGTGGGAATGATATCAGAAAATATAGGAGTTAGTGGTCCACTCCTCTTTGGCCCTTTCATCACTTGACAGCATGTGCAGAAAAACTGCATTTTAACTCCATGACGGTCGTCATGGACCTGTGACGGTCGTCACACGCATGACGGTCGTCACACCCTTGTGACGGTCGTCATATCAGCAGAACTCGTTTTTGCTGCTTTTTGGCCTGATTTTCACTTGGTTTTCACCTGTAAATGCTTCTTTTCTTTATCTTGCTCCATTTGAGCATGAACTTTGAATACATGCAAAATACTGGGCAAATAGTGTGGAAATATCCGAAATCGGAGTGAAAACGGTCGCCGATTAATAGAAAAGTACATCATTATATAGATATGATTTCGCGTTATTAAACACCCCCACACTTAAACCATTGCTTGTCCTCAAGCAACCAACCAACATGGTAAAAAGAAATATGCATAGTTCGAATATTTTCTGTGTGCATATATGGTTTATGAATATATAATGTTGGTTAGTTATAAACTGAGCCGAATGAGCAATTTTCTGTTATAGATTATATATAGTAATGTTGTTTCTTAAGTAAAGTATGTGTTATGTTTCTTTCAGGTACGTGGTTTATAATAATACATTTATTTATTATTCTATATATAATGGAATCCACCAGCAACAACATCACGTGAAAAGGATTTGTGCATGCATGAAAGCGTGAACGATGTGTCTGCCTAAATATCCAATTGAAGAACTATTAGTATTTGATTGTTTGAGCTAGTTTCTGTGAAACTAATTGTCATATTGCATTTAATGAAATCAATTTTACTTTAATGGTTATTTCAATAAACAATTTATAAGTGATCCAATCCACTTATATCTTTAAAAACAAACTTTAGAAATGCTAAACAACTTACACTACTAGAAATACTCTAGTTTCCTGCGTAGTCGCAGGTAAAAGTCGCAAGTAAAGTAGATAAATTCGCAGATAACACCGCTGGTAATTTCTCTCTCAGATTTTTAAGTATAATAGAAACATGCATGTAAATGCTTGGCATAACATTATGATATTTTAAAGTACAAAACAAAGCTTGAATATAACAAATTCACAGGACATATTTGCATATCAGTATCCTTGAAGCAGTCTGCAAGCCACCTTTCATCTGACTGTAAGTCCTCGTAATTGGGACCATAAGCACTATCATTTGATTCTAAAATCCATCTTGTCTTCCTGTACACACATAGTGAGTAACTTCTTTTAAGTCATTTCCAAAGTCACAACCATACATCATAACATATTTTTGAATTTCAAGACATCCAAGACATGATGTTTTCTTCTTACACACAAAAACATTCAAACAATTCAAAATCAGCACCTTGCATTTCATAAAATTAGAATTCACATCTAACTGACATTCATAATCAATAAACATGGAATTTTCATCAATCAATTTCAATTTCCAGCTCATTCAAACAAATTCAAAACAAAAGCTCCTAATAGATTTCCACGTGAATCACATAGTCAAGACATCTCAAATTGCATTGCATTACTTAACAGAATTTCAAACATGAGTATGCATCATAACTAAACTCATATTGCTCCATTCATAATAACACGCATAAAATAGCTCACATCTCAATTTCCAACTCAAATTCAAATTGCCACAGATTTTCCACGTGAAAAAATTCAAATAAAACTCATAACAACATCTCAATTCTAGATTCACAATTAATTTAAGAATTGCATTTCATCAAAATTCATTAACAACATTGCAAATAATCGTTAATTCCCAACTAAATTTCAGTTTATAAGATCAAACTCAGCGAAAGGTATCCAAAAGTAAAAAAGAGAGAATCAATGTACCACTGAGAATTGAGGAATTTTCTGAAGTCGCACTGTTACTTCTGTTACGACTCCTTCACTCTCAATCATCAAGCACGTCAGATCATACCTAGAATGTTCACCGGAAATGAACTAATGAATATCATACAGTGTAGCTAACAAATCAAGCAAAGATAAATTTTGACTATACAAATTAAGAAACAAGGAAAGTTTCGCCCAATTAATCTCAGAATGGCTGAAAAATAAAACAATTATGTACCTGCATTTCAACTACAGCACTGTCAGTTCTTAAGAAAGTGGAAATGCATGATAAAGGAAGGAAGATAAATATAAGACAAGTTTCAATTCTGACTTTATTGAATTAAAAAGCAATACAACATTACCTAAATAACACAATCACACATAACCATAAATTTCTAATCAAATTCACTAAATAACACATTAGTAAACTAAACATTGTCTCAGGTGCCAACAGTATGACACTTCAATTTCTTAACAAAACAACATCAAGCTGAATAGACTTCTCTTTCAACAAAGACCTTAGAAATTTAATTCAACTTTAGTATCTACTATAAGTGCCAACATCTGAAATTCAAATAGAAAAGAAACATGTTATTACCTTTGCATTTTACTATAAGATGACAAAAAAAATTTATAACTCCATAAACAATATTAATGAGTTATTAATGATTCAACTTAAGAATAAGATTCTGGTTTTATGTTTCAATTAGGGGGTGAGAGTAAAATTACTTGGTTGTAACATCATTAATAAGAAGTATTGAAAATATCATAAATCGCACACCAAACAAAATTTAGAATTGACAATAACATGATTTGCATACACTAAGGTTCCTAAACACCCTGCTACAACAATGTCTTTTAAACTAACAAATTCTCAATACAAAAAACAGCTTTCTATAGACACGGTGACATCCTTTCAACAAATTCAGAAATATTAACAAGATGACTAATGCATGAACTGAATCAGATATAAAAACAAATGAAAAGTATTATTACCTTCCATCAAGTGTGCGATGAACAACGAGGAACTCAAATGGGTGTTTGCAAATTCTATGCCCCAAATTCTAAAACATGTTCACAATTATAGTCAGAACAGAATTTCCAGGCACCAACGACAATGAATATGACAGTTTAAGCAATCAATCAACGGTAAAGGAATACAAAGTAACTAAAATAAAGATTAAAGAATAAACAATATACAAATAAAACACAAACCAGTACAATAAAGGAAATTGAACGAACCTGATCTGCAACAACATCGACAAGCTCCATGATTGCAAAGCTTTTTGCTGAAAGATCAGGAAAATCATTAATTTGGAAATTTGATAAATGCAAAAGTGGCACCCGAACAACAACAACTTCAGGTGGCACATACCTTCCAACAAGAGGTCTTATTCTAGCAAGCGGACAAGTATGTGGTAGCTGCATAGTTCTCGAGCTATTAAAGACTTCATTGACAATAGGAATATTTGTTGGCACAGTAGATCCAACTTGTACATTATAAGTTAAAGTATGAGAGAGTTGCAGATTAAGAACACTTTTAAACTTATATTTTAATTACCACTTATTTAAAAAATGTTTTAATTAATTTGTAAAATCTGGAAAAAAAAACTATTTTTAGGACTAAAAAAAACCATGTGTTAAAATTATTAAAATTTATTTTTTAGAATTAAAAAATATAAAAAATTTGCAACAACTATGAAATCTTAAAAAATGTCTTAAATAAGAATAATATGTACTAAAATTATCTTTAAAAAAATAAATCTAAAACATAAATAAAAAAATAATTTTTGACACAATTTAAACAAAAACTATTCTTATTTAATAAAGAAAAAAAAATGTTGTGAAAATTATTTTAAAATAGGTTTTTTTTTTTATATTATATATATATAAATCTAAAAAATCAATATGTCAATTATATTTTACAATTTTATTTAATAATAGTAAAAATATAATTAAATAAATAAACTTATATTTTTACAATTATATTTTACAATTATATCATAAACTTATATTTTTTATTTTTCTAATTTTTATAACAATAAAAATTTATTAAATAAATAAACTTATATTTTACAATTATATCATAAACTTATATTTTTTTATTTTTCTAATTAAAACAACAAAAAAAGTATTAAAAAAATAATTTTTTTTTGAAAAATAACTAAAAAAACTCAATTAATATTATAAAATTTTCTTAAGAAAATCTAAAATTTAATATAAATTAAAAAAGTCTCAACAACATATTTTTGGAATCAATATGTATTTTATAATTTTATTTATTAATCATAAAAATATAATAAAAACTAAATATAAACTAAATAACTCGCAACAAAAGTCGCAGATACATACAACAAATTCCGCAGCAAACTTCGCAGCAATTCCTGCCAGAGAATTTTGTAATTTTAATGGATAACAAGTTCCTGCGAAATATATCGCATTAAAATCCGTAGGAAATTTATATTTTATTTTTAAATTGCTGATAACGTCTCAGGAATTCTTGAGAAATTTGCTGCTACTGTATTTTACGCAGGAAATAATGTTTCACATTATAAAGATGCAGGTGAAATTGCAGGTTTAGCGGCGGAACATTTTTCGCAGGTAATCTGTGTATTTCTGTTGTATGTAATCTATCCACTTATATTTAGACCCACCAATTAATTAAGATAAAGAAACACACTTTTTTAATATTTCATGAAATAACTTTTAAAAAAAATTAGTAACGGGATGGGTATCTTTTTTAATGGTAAAATTGCTGCTAAATTCCGAAACTAAAAATTCACGAATGCATTAAGCAATCTCTATTGGAGATGCTCCCACAAATCCACTGGGTTTTATTTTTTTGGCTAACTTATGCTAATTGAAATTGAGTTTTATTTATAGGGGTTGAATAAATCTCAAGTTTAAAATTTGTTTTAAAAAATTATTTTTGAAAATTTTACGGTTAGCAGAAGTGACCTGGATCAAATAGTCTAAAATGAATCGCTATTGAAAAGCTCAAATAAATAAATAAATATATATATATATATATATATATATATATATATATATATATATATATATATATATATATATATATATATATATATATATATATATATATATATATATATAAATCAATCGGTGATAATGATAAACAAATCAATCAATATGTGTTGCGGTGAGAATATGATATCAAATTATTGATTAATTTGAATCACAATCTTAAATTCACAACCGGTATTTGATTTATCTGAAGGAAAGGTTAAAGAAAGGAAAAATCTATTTTTGCATGGTAAACACAATGCGGGGAAAGAATTAGGGTTCGGGGGTTGGTTAAGCTTAGGGAAGGTATTAGCATCCTAAACTTTTTTAGTACTCTACAAGAACCTCTTGTTTTAAAATATGTTATTGCTAATAGTTATCTGCTTAGGATAATGCTAAGGGTTAAAGGTAAAGAGAAAGACTTATGGGTTAGTCCTAAGTATACTCGCCAAGATTCACATCTTGTGCCTACGTATCCGATGTAGGGGATGTAATTAGAGTAATCGTAGTTCCCCTCACAGAGGGAGGAATAGGAACTTCTTGACTGTGGTCAAGGTTCCAAGGGGATGTAAACGTTCATAGAGAAGCGCTTACTTGGAGTGCGACGACTCCTATTCTTTTGTTGATTTTGTTCACTAACCTTTTGTTTTGTATTTTTTTTCTTTTTCAGGATTTGTAATGTATTTAATAATATCATTTGTATTTCATTTTTCATCCATAAGTTGTATTTTATTTTTCAGACATCAATTGTAATTTATTTATTTATTTTGCATTACTCATCATTTACCGTTATTTTCACCCTCCGAAGGATTAGGTCTAATAGTTTGAACGCCGAGTCAATAACCCTAACCCTTGACCGTTTCAAACCCTAATTAGCCTAGGTGTTCCGCCGTTGACAAAATACATGAAAGAGTTCCTAATAAGCAATACTGAGAAACTCAACAGTAGACCAAGTCTGTTTGTTGAAAACATCCCATACTCAGAAGGAATTAACCTTTAGCAAACAAGATTTATTAATTTCTGATGATTCTTGTTGATCTCTTCTAGATCATTCTTCTTAAGCCTTGTCTAGGCATCACCTTGAGGAGATACGTAGCTTTCAACTAACATATTTCAAGAATAGAATTCATCATATTCTTCTAATTATCTAATGAGTCTATTATCCTTTTACCAGTTGATTCTTCATGTTGCTTTCAATCTTCTTGCAAGCGCCATAAGAGAATATTATGTTGTCAATAACAACCAGCTCTAAGAATCAGTGACACAATCCAAAATGAACCTTTCTGGTTTGTCATTTCAGTACTCAATCCTTTCATCATCGTATGAGACTGAAACGGTAGATGGTGGAAGAGATTATCCAGAGCTTTTCTCAAAGCTCGTTCGGATCTTTATCTGACACGGTTAAGTGTTTGATAAACATCAATAACAGAATCAGAGCTCTGGTACCAATTGAAGGTTGAGAAACACAAGAAAGGGGGATTTGAATTTGGTTTCATATTTTGTCCCCTTTTCGCAAAATTAAAATAATGATGTTAACAATTAAATAAAAATAAATGAACACAATTATTTTTATCCTGGTTCACTGTTAAAGAAGTTACTCCAGTCTACCAACCTTGATGATTTCACCTTAGGCAAGGACTTAACCCAATAATCATAAAACTGATTACAAACTATATGTTGTTAAACAACACGCTTAGCCCTCTCAAACATCCTGACTTTCACTTAGCCGCTCAACAAAATCATCAATCCACAATGGATACCCTCCATTGTCTTCTTGAGAATTCTGACTATAACGAGTCCCCCAAGGAATACAATCACCTTTTGACAAAGGATTTTTCAAGCTACCTTCAACAAGGATTTACGCCACCTTTAGAAAAAGGATTTTACATTTGTACACTTAATGCTTCTTACAAGCTAATTACACAAATGAAGCACAAGAACACCTAAGTGTTTCTAGCAAATTCTTGAGCAGTAGCTCCTTACTTTCTAATACAGAAACTAAAGAATGAATCTCTGAGAGACTATAAAACATTAGTTGTGTATTGCTTAAAATATTTCTTGATGAGCACTACGACTTCTTTTCATGAGCTTTAAACTTCTTTTGATGAACTCCTTTCTTGAGCAAGTAATGCTTCTTCCTTATAGGCCTTTCTCGTACAATCTCAATTAGGATGTCTAGAACTAACATTCATTAAAACCATTATATTAGAAACATTCATGAATCTTGACTTTATCTTGTACACACATATGTTTTCTTCCAGAGTGTTGATAACAGAGTCTGATGACATCACAAGTCTTCTTATTAGAGTCAGAATCATATTGAAAATAGTCAAACACTAGGCAGAAACCATATCATACAGAATTGTTCTCTTAGATAACATGTGTAGTTATCATCAAAACTCAAAGGCCAGATGTAGAACCAAATCTTGTTCTTACATTTGCGACCTACAATTGAGTATTGACATGCATAAGTCGGTCATCATACACATCATAAATTGAATGATAATCAAATTCGATATGTTTGATGTGTTCGTGAAAATCAAGATACGCAACAATTTGGATAACACTTGTATTTTTAGCATGAAGTGAGGTTAGCTCTATTTGAGGAAATCCAAGTTCAGCCAAAAGACTATGAAGCTAAAATATTTTAGAACAAGCAGCATACATGGCACGATACTCAGATTATGTAGAAGATTTAGAGACTCTCGCTTGTTTCTTGCTTTTCCATGAGATCAACGAGGATCCAAGAAACATGCACCAACTAGTGACAGATTGTCGAGTATCAGGACAACCCGCCCAATCGACATCACTATAAGCACTCAATTTAGGAGAAATTCCAATAGGAAAGAATAAACCACAATGACAACTTCCCTTCAAGTGGCGAATTATGCGACGAACTGCTGCCAAGTGAATATGGAGAAGAGGGTGCATGAATTAACTTACTTGTTGAACAACAAAATATATGTCAGGGCGAATAATAGTCAATTAATTAAGGCTACCCATGAGTTGACGATACAATAAGGGATCATGCAGGAGATCACCATACTTACGATGATATTTAATATTAACCTCCAGAAGAGTATCAATTGGATTAGCCGATTGGAGACCAGCCATAGAAATTAAATATGTGGCATACTTGTGTTAATGGAGAAAGATGCCCTTGGATGTAGAACGAACCTCAAGACCAAAAAAATAATGCAAATTACCAACATCTTTCATATGAAACGATGCTTGTAACTGTTGTTTAAGGCTTTGAATGGAAAGCATGATCAAAACCAATAATAATTATATCATCAACATACAAAAGAAGTAGAACAGTTCCAGTAGACGTTCTATGAGTAAACAGAGAAGAATCATATTATAACGCCCTGTATTATATATATATATATATATATATATATATA